CTATCTATATTTCTATATGTATATATACATATATCTTTATATCTATATATCTTTAAATATATATATCTATTTATCTATATATCTATATCTATATATATATATCTGTATACATATATATATCTACCTAAAAGGTTTGCATTATCATGCGGATGATATTCAAACCCCAAGCCAACCCTGAACCAAACCTTATATAAATAGATCTTAAACCAACTCGATGATAACATCAAATGAAACTATTGTGCATTGTTGTGCCTTAACCTACATTCCACATGTTTCCAAGGTGCATGTCGTGTAGTATATACACCTTGAGTATCACATTCAACCTAGCACCTTGCATGTGAAAATAGGTGTTTCCAATCTGCTTTGGGGGGGAGGCGCTGCGCCCTCCCCCCCAATCCACCCCTCCCGCTTTTTTTATTTAAATTCAAGCTTGCACACATTTCAATACACTACTTTGGTTAGAATATATATATATATGTACATTGTATATATATATATATTGTATATATATATATATATATCGTATATATATATATATTGTATATATATATTGTATATATATATATTGTATATATATATTGTATATATATATTGTATATATATATATTGTATATATATATATTGTATATATATATTGTATATATATATATATATTGTATATATATATATTGTATATATATATAACAACACTAACAACACTAACACTAGCAACACTAACAACACTAACAACACTAACGGTAACAACAACAACAACAACAACAACAACAACACCAACAACAACAACAACACCAACACCAACACCAACAACAGTAACAGTAACAACAAACAACTGTTGGAATGTCAGCCTTCAGCTCCAAAATCCTGCAAGTACTGTGAGGAATGTAGCTGTAAAATGTTGCACATATGGTGGAAATCCAGATTCCAGCTCAAAAATGCTGCAAAGAGCATGGAAAATGGACAGAACATGCTGCAAACTGTTGCAAATACCGTGGAAAATACAATGGAAAATGAGAGGTTCGAACTCAAAACCGTTGCACATACCGTGGAAATGGCAGTTTCCAGCTCCAAAATGCTGCAAATAGCATGGAAAATGGTGAGAACCGGAAATCCAAAAAAATTCCCCAAACTAAAAAAAAATAAATCCCCAAACAATTTCCTACCCTTTTTGTTGGGAAGGGCCACTGGAAAGTGACTAAACACGGTTCTTTTGGAGTCACTCTTCCACGCCAAATGGTCCTTGTTCAAAACCATCAACATCCAGCACTTGGACATATTTACAGTTGACTCTCTCTCTCTCTCTCTTTCCAAAGAAGATTTGAAATTATTATTGATTCCAATTTTCGGATGTTTTCCTATACTTGCAGGACCATCCCATGAATGGTAAGCCCCCAAATGGGGGTTAGTTATATCCAATTTTCATAGAATCATAGAACACATTTTTTGAAGAGCTCCATCATCCAAAAAAACAATGCCATAGGCCATAGAAAGTTTATGAAAAAGTGTCATACCCCCCCAAATATATATGTATACGTGTATAAACCATTCCCAAATGGGTGGTTTATTACTGTTTAACCCACATGAAAAATATCCAAATCACATTGAAATCACCATATTTTTTTTGCTCAAATCCCATGGAAAACCAGCACTTTTCATGGTGAAATCCAGTGGCACCCCCTTCAGGTGCCTGACTCGGAGTCAGTGTCGTCGATGGAGGTCGCAGGCGTCGCCATGCGGCTGTGAGGGAGATGTAGAAGCATAGGTGTATGTTAATATGTATATAGTGTATATATATATAGAAATAATACACTGTTATAAATGATTTTTAGAGATACATGAATATGTTATTATATATATATTGTTGATATGATGTATGTATATTATATATATATATCTTTAGTTATGTCTATTGTCTATATATGCAAATATCTAGAATTATATATAGCAATGTATCATAATATATCATAACAGGTTGTGTTTGTATTATATATGTACACATCTATCTATCTTTATCTACAATGTCTATTGTCCATATTAATCTACACATATATTAACTTTATCAAAGCATCCATCTTTATCATTCTTTTTCAATGTCTATTTCTAGTACCTGCAGATGACATGGGAGTAGTCGGACATACCCAAAAAACGCAAACTCCCATGTCATCTCCCATCTGTGGTAAATTCGTCTTCCCATCTCATTACCTCCCACTTCCCATCTTGGACGTCCCATCTCCTGCGGTAAATTCGTCTTCCCATCTCATTACCTCCCACTTCCCATCTTAGACGTCCCATCTCCTGCGGTAAATTCGTCTTCCCATCTCATTACCTGCCAATTCCCATCTTGGAAGTCCCATCTCCTGTGGTAAATTCGTCTTGCCATCTCATTACCTGCCACTTCCCATCTTGGACGTTCCATCTCCTGTGGTAAATTCGTCTTCCCATCTCATTACCTGCCACTTCCCATCTTGGACGTCTGTGTTTTCCTGGAAGTCCCAAGATTCTT